AAGGGCTGCTTATGCACAGGGAGACAGCTCAGGGGGCAGGAGAGTATGGAGGGATGGACACTGGGAAGTGGTAACTATGGGGAGGAAGCGGGAGGGGAGCTGTTGCATTGTGGTAAACTGTGGTCAATGACATGAGACACAGTATATGGGAACTGCTGTATGGAGAGTGAATTTGCTCTGTAAATCTTCACCCAAATCACAATTAAAAAAAAAAAAAAAGAAATAAGAGTTCTATACATATACATATATGTAAGAGTTCTATACATGTACTAAAGAAATCGAATTTATACTTAAAACATGAAGGCCAAGATGGCCTCACTCATAAATCCTACCAAACATATAAGGAAAAAAATAATACAAATTCTACATAAAGTCTTCAAGAAAACTGAAAAGGTCAAGTACTTCTCAACTTATTCTAAAAGGCCTGAAATTATCTAGATACCTAAACCAGACAAAGACATTACAAGAAAACTATAGGACAATATTCCTCATGAACACATATGTGAACATTTTTAACAAAATTTCAACAAACAGAATTCAACAACTTACTGAAAAAACCGACTGCCATCTAGTCAATTCTGACTCATAGTGAAGCTACAGGACAGAGCCGAATTGCCCCCATAGGGTTTCCAATGCTGTAAATCTTTTTGGAAGCAGATTGCCACATTCATCTCCTGCAAAGTGGTTGGCGGGTTCCAAGAATTGACTACTATGTTACCATGATGATTTAAGTGAGGTTTATCTCAGGACTGGAAGGTTGGTTTAACTTTCAAAAATTAATCAATGTAATATACCACAGTAATAAACTAAAAAAGAAAAGGTACATGATTATACATATGATATGTACTACTGTATCTCCTTTTTTTAGTACAGTGAGGGCTCAATACATACTATTTGAATGACTATCCCCACCTTGTAAAAAATGAAACTGCATTACAGGGAATTACGTCTTCCAGCCATGGTCTTTGTGATTCCCACCAGATGACTGGGATGAGCTATGTAAATGTGAGTTGCTTGTGACCCATGAAAGGGATTGGACAGTTTGATAATAATGTAAATTAAGGTACATGGCACCCTTGAGGGGGTAGGACCATGGAAATAAGGTATGTGGAACTCTAATGTGGAGATTGGTGAGTTTTGCCATCTCACCAGGCTTAAAGTGAGCCATCCCAGAGGTGGAAAGAGGGATTCTCTCTATCATCAAGAAAGGAAAAACAGGAATGGCTAAAGTCCTTTGGACCTGAGATCCCTACACTGGATACCTCAACGGCAGAAAGACGGCAATGGCAGAGGCAGGAGACCAGAATGAGACAGAGCGACAGAGCAGCAGGCTTCCCGGCCCATGGAATGAGAAGGCTGAGTGCCTTTGGGCAGGAGAATTACTGATGAAGCAGGGTACCTCTTTGGGCATCTAGCTGGCAAAGCTAACAGCACTTTTAACACTGGCCTGAGCAGGTCAGAGGCCAAGGCCAGAGAGAAGCATGCCTGCAGCATGGCTGAGAAGAAGCTGTCCTGATTGAAGAACTATATTCTAAGTTGTTTTCTGATCCTGAATTGTAACCCATTATTTCCCTAATAAATCCCACAATTTTGAGTATTGTCTGTGAATTCTGTGTAGCCACTGCAAAGAATTTACTGTATACACCAGAAAAGTGGAGAGTACCATGGGAAGGACAACTGGTGTCAAAATTTTAAGAAAGATCAGAGGGTGGTTTCAACTTCATGGCTAACTTCCCTTCATAGGAACCAGCCTTGGGCTGTTGATGTCTTCTTGATAATTCTCCTCCCTTGTGAAGTTAGAGGAAACTGGAAGCAGCAGCCACCTCCCGTGTCCTTTTTAATAAAAAACAAAACAATAAAACGTGGAGTGCAGGCCAAGGTTGGTTCTAGTTGACTGCAGTAACTAGAGTCATGTAAATTACCAGAAAATTTAACAGAAAAAAAGGGTATAAAATGTTTAGTTTATTTTTGCAGAGAAAGACGCCAGCTATAAGCTGCCATGGCCACAGTGAGTTGCTGTGAATTTGACTTACTTCAAGGAGGAATCCCCAACACCAATGCAGCCTCGCAAGCTGAGCTTCCTCAGGAATCCACCGCATCGCTTTGAAATATTTTCTACCACGCGACCCTTGAATCAAGGAAGGTAGAGAAAAATATAATTTTTTCATGCTACTTACATAACAGCAAAATAATCTGAAATTTAGGAACAGAATATACAGGTAGTCCCCAGATTATAAACCAGTTCTGTTCTTGTCTTTAAGTTAAATTTGTAAATTGGAACAGTTAGGTGTGGTTTCTATCTAATGTCAGTTAGTCAAATGTTTGTCTTAGTATATAGTATACAGTGTACTTTCCCATGCATAAAAGATATAAAGAAACACTTCCAGACACATAATATCTTTAACACAATACAGTAATAACAATAATGTTTTGATTCGTGTTGCAAATAGCACCCATTATTTATTACGAAGCACTGTATGTACCTTGAATTGTTAATGTAACTAGGCTTTATGGGGATGGTTCATAGCTATGGGCTGTCCGTTATGCCAGATATTTGTAACCCTGGGACTGCCTGTGTTTTCTTAGGTGTAGTACAACCTTTGGAACGTTCTTGCAGCACCTCAATTCTATCCACAGCATATAAAAGGGCAGCAAGCTTTGAAAAATATTTTCAACTAAAGCATCAAGTAGTCTAAAAACAAAAAAGGAAACAAAACCTCAAACCAAACCAAACCGAAACCCCTGTGGCATTGCATTTTGAAAGCTTAGCTCTGGGGTGTGAGGCCTACCCTGCACAGTATCCACAGCTACTGGTCACCAGCCATAAGGCTCAGCTTTGGGAACACAGGCTTTTGAGCAATGATCAAAAAACAGTGCTGCTTAAAAAAGGAAATTCTCTTTTACTTAAAAATTACCATTCTAAGAGTATGCAAATATATTGCAAAAGCTTTCCCTCTCCTTGGCAGTCCTCTGTTTAAACACATTTTCTTTGAAAGAGGAACTTTTGCTGGGCACTGGTAGAGATATTAAAGGAGGAAAAAGGAAAATGAACACTGATTAAGGACTTTCACTTTTCAAGGTCCAACACTTTTCTTGCACTTGCTCACTTAATATTCACGACAACTTATAAGATTGCAGTATCTTCACTTTGCAAATGAGGAAATTAAAGGGTCAAATGGCTCAAAGTTGCACTTTTGTGCAGAGCTGGGCTGTTACCAGGTTTATCTGATTTCAAAGTTGGTGTGCTCTTCAAAAAGACTTCTACCTCCTTCAACAAGGTAGGAGACATTTAAAAGGAGGGTTTTGTTTAATTTTGTTTTTAATACTATTACTTTATAAGAGTAATCTTGGTACTGAACTGTGAGTACTAAGAATTCACTAAGGGCACGTCAAACCACAGGATCACCAAAGTGGGCTCACAAGTATTTGTTATCTGGCTAACATCATGATTCAGTTGAAAAGCCAAACTTTGATTTTGCTAGTGGCATTTCTTTATATTTTCTTTAGTACTATCTAATAATTACTTTTGGATACAAAATTTTAGACAACTGTAAAATAAGTATTTGTCATCAGAAAGAAAAAAAGATTGACTTGGAAATCCAAGATAAATACACCTAAACCAAAGAAACAAAAACAAAAACCCACTACCACTGAGTTGATTCCAATTCATAGTGACCCCCATAGGGTTTCCAAGACTGTAAATCATTAAGGAAGCAGAATGTCTCATCTTTCTCTCATGGAGCAGCTGGTGGGCTCAAACCACCAACTTTGTGATTAGGAGCCAAATACCTTCCCATGGCACCACCAGAGCTCCAAACACACTTAAGTACCTAATGAAACAGCCAAAACTCCAACCCAATGTCTACAGATGGAAAATAGTATATTTTCTCCATTTCAAATTAATCACATCCATTTAAACTTCCTATTCCTTTTCTTTTGAGCAGACATTCTTGTACTACAATACTAAAAAAAATTACACATATAATTTTCTGCTCCACTGTTTCGAATTAAGAAAAAAATGAACAAGTCTTTTCTAAATACAGTGAAACCTATGAGCACCAGAACTTGATGGAACTGCTCATTTTCAGGGTTTCTCAAGTTTTCCCCTTTGACAGGGTGTAGTCTTACTAGTTTTCTACTATTCTTAGTGGAAAATATTTGAGTTTTCCTTTTCTGACCTTACAGAGATTTCAGCTTTCACAAGTTTTACCGTATAATATTAAAGTTAATGGCTCTGCATCTTATTTATTAGACAGGTATATATTTTAGAATGAAAATTGGTATTGTAAGCAGGTATATATTTTAGAATGAAAAGCTTTAGAGAAAGAAAGGTAAGATCTAAGACAGGCTTAAAAGCTCTTTGGAATTATGGTTTTAAATTAACATAAAAACAACTCTATTGCCATGAGTCAATTGTGACCCATAGAGACCCTACAGGGCAGAGTATAACTGACTTCTAGGGTCTCCAAAGCTGTAATTTTTATGGAAGCAGACTGCCACATCTTTCTTCCGCAGAGCAGCTGGTGGATTCAAACCACTGACCAGGGTTCCTTTAAATAATATCCTACAGAACATAGTTATGATTATATTAATTCTGAACCTTGGCACCTTCTCTCTTCTCTCACCACATCAATAAATCACCATTTCCTTCCCAAAGAGCATTTCTTTGAGACCATCAGGTTACCCATAGAATCCATCCCAGAGCAAGCATCTGGGGAATCCTGCTTAGAATATTTGAAGGGCCTAATACTTGGTGCAGGAGCTCTGGTAGCACAGTGGCTAAGGCACTTCACTGATAACCAGAAGGCTGGTGGTTCAAACCCACCAGCCACTCCTTGGAAGGAAATTTGGGCAATTTACTTCCGTAGTGATCTGCCTTGGAAACGCAAGGAGGGGTCACTATGAGTTGGGTCCAACTTGATGGCACAAAACAACAACAACAATACTTGGTTCAAAACCCAATCTAAATTCAAGGTGCCAGTTCATAAGGAGAACTAAACAGTATTAGACTAGATTGAAACCCTGGGGCCAAATATCTCGAGCTTTTGTATGCAATTCTTTGCATAACTGGTGCACTATAACTGGTCTCTCCTTATGCAGAAGTACTCTGGTGTATTCTTAAGTATTTCTGCAATGTGTACATGCAGCTGAAGTTACCTGAAAGTCAGTTGTCAGGGAAAATCTGAAATCAAGTAATTTTACTTAAAATAGTATTTTTTTACTACCTAAATTAAAGATTATTTAGTATGCCTTACAAAGAGTGGGAGCTCTGGTGGCATAGCGCCTAAGGCACTTGACTGCTAACCAGAAGGCTGGTGATTCAAACCTACCAGCCACTCCTTGGAAGGAAGACTGGGCAATCTACTTCTGTAGAGATTCTGCCTAGGACACACAGCAAGGAATCACTATGAGTCGGATTCAACTCGACAGCAGTGAGTTTGAGTTTTTTACAAAGAGTAGTATAATCTGGAAAAATCATCAAAGAAAACTGAGGAGACAATAAGCACCACAGAAAAAAAGAAACATTTTGTCAAAACTTTTCAACATGATTCTCCTTTGGCCAGTGGAAATGACTACAATTTTTAGAATTTAAGGTTCCCCTTGAATCACTACCACCCAACACCCACTGCCATCGAGGCAGACCTGATTCATAGCGACCCCTCCTTGGGTTTCCAAGGCGTTATCACTATGGAAGTAGATCACCCGACTGTCCTTCCGAGGAGTGGCTGGTGGGTTTGAACTGCCAGCCTTCTGGTTAGCAGTCATGCCCCAGGTACTACGCCACCAGAGCTCCTTGAATCACTGAGTAGTATAGAATGTCAGTGTGTTTGGGTGGGGCACTGTCATAATCACTGCTTTTTATTAATTGTGGTCTTTAAGTGAAGTCTAAGGGTTAGCTGTCACAGAGGAATAGTTGCCATCAAGTTGATTATGACTCACGGTGACCCTGTATGTGTCAGAGTAGAACTGGGGCTCCATAGTTAGTTACCTTATTACCAAGGCTGTTTTGCAATGTGCTTCAGGGTAGGTTTGGACCACCAACCTTTTGGCTAGTTGTCAAGTGCTTAAACATTTACACAACCCAGGGACTACTCAATCATTGCTCTAAGTCTGGAATAAGAATTAAAAAACTTATTCAGGGATCACAGTCTAAACTAGGAACTATCTTTCCATCAGGGGCACTGTGATAGTTAAGGTTATATGTAGACTGGGCCTGGTTTTGAGAGGTTGGCAGCTAGATGAAGTTATTCCCCATGATGAGAATGGTTAAATTCAACTCCATGGTGGAATCTACTGGAGCAGCTGAGTAGCTGCCTTAGGGATGTGGTCTGCTCCCAGTATATAAGTAGCAGCTTTGAGGAAGGTCTCAAGTTTTTGGCATGCTTGAATCCTGCATGCAGCCAAGTCACTGTTCAGCAGCCTGTCATGCTGTCTGCTGATCTTGGGACTCTTAATGAACCTGAATCAGTGGCCTGCCATGTGGTTTGGTAATAGTGGGACTGTGCCTTTTCACTTATCGACCTTGGGTTTCTCAGCCTCAGCAGTCAGCAGTTGCCTGGGTGAAGAAAGCCTCCAGCTCCAGTGGGCCAGGAGCAAGAGGCAGAGCTGAAGCACAAGGTCAAGGGGTTTGAACTCAGACTTTTAGCCTCCAAAACTGTGAGAGAATAAACTCTTGTTTGTTAAAGCCACCCAACTTGTGATATCTTCTGTTAGAGTGGCACTAAAGAACCAAAACAACAGGCATGAAGCTCTGAAATTCTTAGCTCCTTCCTGAACTCAGACACCACATTGAGAGGAATCAAGGATTTCCCAATCCTGTGCTCTGTGCCACTTTCGACAGGTAAACTGCTCCACGCATTTAAGATGGGGATCAGAAATTCTCAAGTCAGCAAGTTACCTAAAGAAGGAGGTGATAGGTTTCTGCAACTGGCCATTAGTTCTTCTAGGTGCCACTAGGTTAAGTAACTAGCAGGAAACTGCTTGGGCCCATTTCACTGTTAAATCCATTAATTTCCTTATGTACTAAAAAAAGGCACAGATCATACACTTTGGCAGAAATACTTGGTGAATATTCCACATGAGTAACTGAATTATAATGTAACTCCACTGCTGTAAATGAGTTGGCTAAACTGGAAATGAATGAAGTTTTACTAAGCACTGGGCAGATTAAAAACTTCAAAATCTCAAGATCTTAACATCATTCTAGGCAATTACTATGTATAATAGTCTTTATTCTATTCCTCCTTTTCCTTTTGGTTGGAAATTTGGTATTTAATAGTGTCATTAATTGAACCGTGTCCTCTCAAAATATATGCAGAAAACCTAACCCCTGTGTATCTATAAGGAGCTCTGGTGGCACAGTGCCTAAGGCTCTTGACTACTAACCAGAAGGCTGGCAGTTCAAACCCACCAGCCATTCTGCGGGAGAAAGACTAGGCAATCTAATTCCATAAAGATTTACTGCCTCGGAAACCAAAAGAGTGTCGCTGTGAGTCGGAACTGACTGGATGGCAGTGAGTTTGGCTTTTTTTTTTTTTTTTTGGTGTATCTATAAACAGGCCCCTGTTTGGAAACAGGAGACTTTCTTTTGTTATGTTAATGAGGCCATACCATTGCAAGTAGATATAAACCAAATCATGTCTTAGTTATAAACACACCAGGATAGACACAAACACACACACAGGGAGAAGACAGATGGACTCATCTAGAAGCAAAGGAACATCAATCACTAAAAACTGAAAAAGACATACATCTTTCCTTAGATCTATGCTCTGAATTTGGACTTTGTGGTAGTTCAGTTTGTGTGTCAACTTGGCTGGGCAGCTGGTGGTAGTTATTCCCCATGATGAATGTGCCAATCAACTCCATGGTGGGATCTACCACAAGCAGCTGAGTAGCTGCCTTTGGGATGTGGTTTGCTTCCTGTTTTTAAGGAGAAGTCCTGGGAATGGTCTCTAGCCTATGGCACACTTGGACCCTGCATGTAGCTGTGTCGTTGCTAAGTAGCCTGCTATGCTCTGCCGACCGTGGGACTTACAAGGGACTTAAGTTAATGGTCTGCCGTGTGGTTTGGTAAAATCAGGACTGTGCCTTTTTTACTTGTCAACCTTGGGCTTCTCAATCTCAGCAGCCAGCAGCTGTCTGAGTGAAGAAATGCCTCTAGCTCCAGTGGGCCGGGAGCAGGAGGCAGAGCTGGACCCCAAGGTTGAGGGGCTTTCATCCAGTCCCTAGAGCCCGGCACTTTGAACTTGGACTTAAAGCCTCCAAAATGTAAGAGAATAAACTCCTGTTTGTTAAGGCCATCCCATTTGTGGTGTATTTCTGTCAGAGTGGCACTAGGTAACCAGAACAGACTTCTAGCCTCCTGAACTGTAAGAAAATAAGTTTCTGTTCTTTAAAGCCACCTCTGTGTGGTACTTCTGTTATGCTAGGAAACCAAGAGAAATAATAAAACTGTTTTAAAGTAAACTTTCCTCATCTGGTCAAGTTTACCACTCTTAAATGTAGGTATTTACACATTGTTCAGATAAATATTCCAGAATCCTGGAATTATTACAAGATTATTTTTTATTTTATAGATAATGAAACTAGGGCACTGAGAGATATGGCTTAAGTGGCAGGAGGGCTGGAATGACACCTCAGATCTCATGCTTCACCTCCTTGGCCGGTGCTTCTGCCATCTCTCCATTCGGAATTAGAAGCCCCAGTGGACCTTCTTGTCAAGAGTCATCTTAAGAGAAAGCACTATTAATGGGGCAAGTGTGAGGATTTAAAAAGAGCAAAAAGTAAAACAGAAGCTGAATTTTGGTGTGAAAATAAGTAAATGTCTCCCAACTCTTTTCTCTGCTCCATTTTAGTACTTTATAATTTTATCTAAATGAAACATAACAGATAAGAAAAATAAAGTTATCTTTTAATAAAAATTCTTTTGTCTAAAACAGTGTGAACTTACCTCCACATCTGTTTGAAAGTTAAAAAGGTCTATTCTTTGCCAGTTGCTTCCATCCAGGGCTAAGATGTTCCAAGCCTGAGAGATGGGATGTAAAGGAGCATGGATTGGGGTGAGAGAAGTACACTTACTGAAACTGTTAAATGAATCATAGTTTTGACTCAATCTTTGTATTTCAGAACTTATATTCTTGATATAAGAATAAAAATGTAGAATTATAATATTGTTATGTTAAATATAACATAATAAAAATTTTAATTTTTAACTGTTTACTTGAACCAAAACTTATCCTCATTCTAATAAAATACTAGTTTTATTGATTAAAATTATGGCTAATACTCTACCTTGGAAATCTGTGCACATCGGCACAAAGTTACTATATCCAAGAAGGAAAATATTCTAAAAAGGGGGGGAAAAACACAAAAATGAAATGGTGTTAACATTTTTAGAATATTTATAACTTAAATGATAAAATCTAGTGTACCATTTGGGTATATTATAAATTTTTTTCAAGATTCCTCAATTTGCAATACATAAACACACTATATTGTTACATCACCATTATGAAATATTAAATATTCACTCGTTCAGAAACTGTTCTAGACATACTACACAAAACCTCTTAAAACAGAACTCACTAAGCTTTTATTTTTCTTATTCTACAGAATTGACATGGGACCAAACCCAATGCATTGAGTTGATTCTGACTCATAACCACCCTGTCAGACCAACTAAAACTGCCCCACAGAGTTTCCAAGGCCGTAAACGCTTACAGGAGTAGATTGGCATACCTTTCTCCCACAGAGTGGCTGCCAGGTTGAAATGCCAACTTCTTGGTTAGGAACCGAGTACTTTTACTACTGTGCCACCAAGGCCTCTATGATATGGGTCAGTAGATATAAATCAAAATTCAAACACCAACCCTCTAATCTCACAGGCACATGGCTGGGTGATACCTGAAACCTTCTAATTCTCAGACTTTTTACATACACCACAAGCCCCTCTTTTTGGTGGGAGATATACCAAACAAGTTCAAATGTCTGAGCTACAAAAAACATGGCCAAGAAATGCTGGATGGTAAAATCCATTCAGACTGATGCATTTATTCACTGTATGTATGTATATATGGTGCTCACTGATTGGCAAGGTCTATATGTTGTTGTTGTTGTTAAGTGCCGTCGAGTCGTTTCTGACTCATAGCGACCCCATGCACAGCAGAACGAAACACTGCCCGATCCCGCGCCAGCCCCACAATCCCTGCTATACTTGAGCTCATCA